AAAATCTCTGGAATGTTGGCGTTTTTCCTCACCTTTTCCCCGGGTATAGCCAAGGAGGTAATCTTTAAGGGAGGGAATCACCATTTTGAGGTAAAAATGACATTTTTGGGGGTTAAATTGAAGTAATTTTTTTCCAGACAGGTCAGGACAATTGTGGGGGTAAAATCCGAGGTGATCTGTAAGCGATGGAATATTTCTGGGGTAAAATGTGAGGTACATGTGAGTGCAGGGTCCCTAAGTTGTGTTGGGGGCTTTTCCTTCATGTTCCACCTACTTTTTTCTCTCCCCTTTCCCACCCTTTTTCCTTTCATGTCTTTTTCTCCCCTCACGTTTTCCCGCCCTTTTTCTCCCCTCACGTTTTCCCGCTCTTTTCTCCCCTCACGTTTTCCCGCTCTTTTTCTCCCCTCACGTTTTCCCGCTCTTTTCTCCCCTCATGTTTTCCCGCTTTTTCTCCCCTCACGTTTTCCCGCTCTTTCTCCCCTCACGTTTCCTGATCTTTTCTCCCCTCACGTTTCCCTCTTTTCCCCTCATGTTTCCACCCTTTTCCCCTCACGTTTCCTGATCTTTTCTCTCCTCATATGTCCCTCTCTTTTTCCCATTTCCACCCTTTCTCCCCTCACATTTCCAGCCTTTCTCCCCTCACGTTTCCCACCCTTTTTCTCCCCTTGCATGTATCTCTTTTCCCCTCACGTTTCCACCTTTTCTCCCCTCATGTTTCCTGATCTTTTCTCCCCTCATGTGTCCCTCTCTTTTCCCCTCATGCCCCTTTCCCCGTTTCCCTCTTTTCCCCTCACGTTTCCTGATCTTTTCTCCCCCCATGTGTCCCTCTCTTTTCCCCTCATGTCCCTTTCCCCGTTTCCCTCTTTTCTCCCCTCACTTGTCCTTCTTTTCCCCTCACGTTTCCCTCTCTTTTCTCCCCTCAGATTTCTACCTTTTCTCCCCTCACTTGTCCCTCTCTTTTCCCCTCATGTTTCCACCCTTTTCCCCTCATGTTTACCTCTTTTCCCCTCACATTTCCACCTTTCCTCCCCTCACATTTCCTGATCTTTTCTCCCCTCATATGTCCCCCTCTTTTTCCCATTTCCACCCTTTCTCCCCTCACATTTCCAACCTTTCTCCCTTCACGTTTCCTGCCCTTTTCTCCCCTCACATTTCCCTCTCTTTTCCCCTCGCATTTCCACCCTTTTCCCCTCACGTTCCCGCCCCTTTCTCCCCTCATGTGTCCCTCTGTTTTCCCCTCAGGTGTCCCTTTTTCCCTCATGTTTCCCTCTTTTCTCCCCTCACATTTCCTCCTTTCCTCCCCTCACATTTCTCTTTTCCCCTTACCTTTCCACCCTTTTCCGTTTCCCACTCTTTTCTCCCCTCACGTTCCCGCCCCTTTCTCCCCTCATGTGTCCCTCTGTTTCCCCCTCAGGTGTCCCTTTTTCCCTCATGTTTCCCTCTTTTCTCCCCTCACATTTCCTCCTTTCCTCCCCTCACATTTCTCTTTTCCCCTTACCTTTCCACCCTTTTCCGTTTCCCACTCTTTTCTCCCCTCACGTTCCCGCCCCTTTCTCCCCTCATGTGTCCCTCTGTTTCCCCCTCAGGTGTCCCTTTTTCCCTCATGTTTCCCTCTTTTCTCCCCTCACATTTCCTCCTTTCCTCCCCTCACATTTCTCTTTTCCCCTTACCTTTCCACCCTTTTCCGTTTCCCACTCTTTTCTCCCCTCACGTTCCCGCCCCTTTCTCCCCTCATGTGTCCCTCTGTTTCCCCCTCAGGTGTCCCTTTTTCCCTCATGTTTCCCTCTTTTCTCCCCTCACATTTCCTCCTTTCCTCCCCTCACATTTCTCTTTTCCCCTTACCTTTCCACCCTTTTCCGTTTCCCACTCTTTTCTCCCCTCACGTTCCCGCCCCTTTCTCCCCTCATGTGTCCCTCTGTTTCCCCCTCAGGTGTCCCTTTTTCCCTCATGTTTCCCTCTTTTCTCCCCTCACATTTCCTCCTTTCCTCCCCTCACATTTCTCTTTTCCCCTTACCTTTCCACCCTTTTCCGTTTCCCACTCTTTTCTCCCCTCACGTTCCCGCCCCTTTCTCCCCTCATGTGTCCCTCTGTTTCCCCCTCAGGTGTCCCTTTTTCCCTCATGTTTCCCTCTTTTCTCCCCTCACATTTCCTCCTTTCCTCCCCTCACATTTCTCTTTTCCCCTTACATTTCCACCCTTTTCCGTTTCCCACTCTTTTCTCCCCTCACGTTCCCGCCCTTTTCTCCCCTCATGTGTCCCTCCCTTTTCCCCTCACATTTTCCCTTTTCCCCTCGTTTCCCCCTTTTCTCCTCACATTTCCACCTTCTCTCCCGTTTCCATCTTTTCTCCCCTCATGTTTCCCTGTTTTCTCCCCTCACGTTCCTGCCCTTTCTCCCCTCACCTTTCCTGATCTTTTCTCCGCTCATGTGTTCCTCCTTTCTCCCCTCACATTTCCCGCTCTTTTTCTCCCCTCACGTTTTCCCGCTCTTTTCTCCCCTCACGTTTTCCCGCCCTTTCTCCCCTCACATTTCCACCTTCTCTCCCCTCTCTTTTTCCACCCTTTCTCCCCTCCTGTTTCCTGATCTATTCTCCCCTCATGTGTCCCTCTCTTTTTCCCATTTCCACCTTTTCTCCCTTCACATTTCCTGCCCTTTTCTCCCCTCACATTTCCCTCTCTTTTCCCCTCACATTTCCCTCTCTTTTCCCCTCACATTTCCCTCTCTTTTCCCCTCACATTTCCCTCTCTTTTCCCCTCACATTTCCCTCTCTTTTCCCCTCACATTTCCCTCTCTTTTCCCCTCACATTTCCCTCTCTTTTCCCCTCACATTTCCCTCTCTTTTCCCCTCACGTTTCCCCCTCTTTTCCCCTCACATTTCCCTCTCTTTTCCCCTCACATTTCCCTCTCTTTTCCCCTCACGTTTCCCCCTTTTCCCCTCAGGTCTCCGCAGTTTTGGGGTCAGCAATGAGCCGGGGGACAACGACACTCGGCAGCGTTTATTTGGGGAGGGGGGGAAAAAGGCACTTAAAGGTGGTCTGGGGGGCGTTTCAGGGGGTCAGAAACGAGCCAGTGACACTCAGCAGCGTTTATTGGGAGGGGGGAGGAAACAAAAGGCACTTTTGGGGTTTTGGGGAGGGGGTTTTGGGGAGGGGTCACCCCAGCTGATCCTCGTATTGCTTGCGGAAGCAGTCACCGGCCGGGAAGAAATCCCAGCAGCGCTCCTGGTACATCTTCCACACGTAAGATTCCTGGGGGAGGAATTGGGGAGGGGGGCTCGGGCCATGGGGGACCCCTCCCAGGCACCCCGCAGCACCCCTGCCCACCCTTGCAACTTCAAGAGAACCCCCAAAATCCCATAGAGATCCTCCCAAAATCCAATAGAGGCCCCCCAAAATCCCAGAGGCCCCCCAAATCCCACAGAGACCCCCACCCAAAATCCCATAGAGATCCTCCCAAAATCCCATAGAGGCTACCCAAAATCCCACAGACCCCCCAAATCCCACAGAGATCCCCCCCTAAATCCCACAGAGACCCACCCCAAATCCCACAGAGACCCCCCCCAAATCCCACAGAGATCCCCCCCAAATCCCACAGAGAACCCCCCCAAAATCCCACAGAGACCCCCCAAATCCCACAGAGACCCCCCCAAATTCCTGATACCTCCCAAAATCCCACATCTCCCCACCTGCCCCGTGTGCTCCGTCTCGTCCTTGTTGATCAAATACATCAGGAAAAACCTGGAGGGGGTCGGGGTGTGAAATTTGGGGGTGTCAGAGATCAACAGGGACCCCCCCAGACCCCTCCAGGACCCCCTAGATCCCCCCGTGGCCCCCAAAGACACCCCTAAATCCCCCCATG